GGCAACGAACTTGTAGAAACATATAAATAATTGCCACAAAGAATGTTCCATTAAATCAGTAAAGAGTAAAAGAGTAGGATTTTTATACCCTCGGAGGAAAGCCCGAGACTTGATTATTTTAAAAACGCAGTTCGATTCTTATAAAAAAAAAGTGTCGTGATTAAATATATAGCTTAGCACTGAGTAGTATTTTCTAAGAGTCTAAATTTTGTCATAATATTTTTTTTCTGAAGGGAGTCTAGTCTTTACTTTGAGTTTTGCAATCCAATTCTTCTCTTAAGCGTGATGTTTTAAAAACTAGTCTGATGGGTAGATCTAGTGCCAAGACAGCATTTTGAGCAATGACGAATGCTATTGGTGAATTACGGAGACTTATTACAGGAGCAAAGGCTTCAATTTGACAATCTTTTAAGGTTCTATTGTGACAATTAAAGCAGCGATAAATATTAATCATAATCAAGTCGAACAAGAAAAGGTAAAGCAGGGCCAAATGTTCCAGGAAAGGCACTCTATGATCACGAAATTCTGTTTTTCAGTAGCCAAAGCAAGTAGAAGAAGAAATGGATATGGATCTAGCACAAAATAAGAAAGTAGTTTTAGAACTAAGCAAAACTTGAAGTCATATTTTCTCCTCTATGTTTCCAAATATTTCATTGGAATCACCGAATGGCAGAATTATTCGTTAAGATATGTCTCTTACTATTATTCAAACATGCAAAGCTCTGACCAAGGAGAAGGATCATCATTCGGCCAGACTAATGGTTCAGCTCCTCAGACTAGGACATACATCAAAGAGTAATTTAGAGTGTAGACAGGAGAGAGGGGTGAGGAACTTCCACTACCAACACATTGGATAGTTTATCTTACATCTGAACATATGATAGATCGAAGAGTAGTAACTAGTGTAGATTCAGAATCACATTCAAGCGCTTTAACATCTGGCATAACTTTAAGTAAAGAATGAAAGCAAGGAATAAAGCAGCCAAAGGAACTTGTACCGAAAGCATTCCCTTGCTTCTCCGGCCATAAGTACAACACCACCACATCGAATAAACATTGCCATTGGATGGTCCTGTCTAGTGTCTAGTCTTCCCTCCCAAACGAAAGACAGCTTTGCATCCCAAACTGTCAGGGAAGTAAGTATTGTCAGATTGTCAAAAACATTTACTCCATCTTTATTCTTCAAGCGAAATCGCGAGAAAGGTGGGAAGAACTATGATATGATGTACCTCATGCTAACTATAGGTTTGCTCCTGTCCGCATCCCTTCATCAAGATGACCCCCCAAAGTATCACCTGAGGAGAAAAGAGATATGTAAGTACCATAGCAATTACAATTTCTGATCATTTACAAGAAAAAGAATAACTATCTTTGATCCAATCAAAAAGAGAAGAATAGGTGAATGCAAAATTCAAATAATAATGTTAATGTATACGAGGGTGACAGCAATCATCGCCACTACTAAGCGATGAATCCGGTAAACTTGAACTTGAGGCGGTACAATTTGATCTGCAGGCAATACTCAATGATGCATTGTCCCTCTTTTCTGGAAAGTCCCAGGAAAAGGGAGTGGAGGTATATATTATCTTCTAGAATCAGATCTGTACTTAATATGTCAGTTTGGTGCTAGTCTCATGGATGACATTTCGTTTCGACTTCTAAAAAACTGCAGTTGGCCGTTTTCATTTCCGATGGGGTTCCAGAGAAGTTAATTGGTGACCCTGGAAGATTTCGACAAATCATAACCAACCTAATGGGAAACTCGATTAAAGTAAGTATCTTGTAGGACAAATGACTGCGTTTCAAAATTAACCTTTGACTTTAGAAAAATCTTCAACCTATATAACATTATGTCGAACTTGTTTTCAATTTTGCAGATCTGTATAAAAATATGTCTGAACTGTTTCTTCTGATCTTTTGGTGCATCTATATGGAAAACTAACTATGAGTTTATAAATCTAGTTCACAGGGAAAGGCCGTATCTTTGTCACGGTGCATCTTGCTTGGGAGGTCATGGACTCGTTGAGACCGAGTCATCTGCTAAGAATACCTTGTGTGGTTTCCAAGTTGCTGAGAGACGACTCAGCTGGGCGAAATTCAAGACCTTTAGCCAAGAAGACAGTGTTTGTCCTTACCCTTCGTTTCCCTACCACCACATCAATCTAAGGGCGCGTTTGGCAAGTTGCCAAATAGTAAAAATTTATGTTCTTTTATTCTCATATTCAAATTTGGAACAGAAATCCGTTTGGTAAATTTTTTTGTTCTGGCACAAATTATTCTTCTTCTTCTTTTTCTTCTTCTTGTTGTTCCCAGAATCAGTTTTGGAACAAAATCAAGAATCAAGAAAAATTCTTCTTCTTCTTCTTCTTCTTCTTCTTCTTCCCAGAATCAGTTTTGGAACAAAATCAATAATCTTTTTCAAGAATCAAGAAAAATTCTTCTTCTTCTTCTTAATCAAGAATCTTCTTCAAGAATCAAGAAAAGTTCTTCTTCTTCGTCACCGGCGGCGGCTCTCACCTAGGCCACCGTGGGCGAGAGTCGCCCTCGCTAGATCCGGTGAGGGCGACCCTCACCCAGGCCGCAAGCCGCCCTCGCCGGATCTGGCGAGGGTGGTCCTCGCCGGCGCCGGCGACCGGCCATGGCCAAGGAAGGGGAAGGAGAAGGAAAAAAAAAAAAAAAAGAAAGAAATTTTATAAAGTTCAAAATATTATCAATAAAAAGAAATTTTATACAGTTACCAAACGCATTTCTGTTATTTTTCTATTCCGAAAATAGAAATTTTGGGCAGTTACCAATTGCCTTCACATGCTTAGAAATTGTTTCCGGGCACAGAATAAAAAAGAATAATTTCTTAGTAGAATCAGCTTCTAGAAACAGAATGATTGCCAAACGCGCCCTAACTGTATTAGTTGAGGATACGGGAGTTGGGATCCCATTTGAGACCCAATCTTGTGTTTTTACTCCCTTCATGCAAGTTGGTCCTTCCATATCCCGCACACATGGAGGGACGGGCATAGAGCTAAAGCATAAGCAAGTGTTTGGTTGAACTCATGAATGGATAGATTAGATTTGTGAGCATACCGAATGTAGGATCCACGTTTACCGTCACGGCCATCTTCAATAAAGGCTGTTCCAATTTGAACGAGTACACGAGCCAGTAATTGAAAAATCAACCAAATCCTGCAAACTCGGAGTTCCAGGCAAGAATGCATTAGGGGTGGATCCCAGATCTGTCCAAGCCAATGTATCTAATTATCATGTCCAAAGGCTTGGAATCCAAGTTGAGATAGTCTCAAACTGGAATAAGTAGCCATGATTTGTAAGCAATAACTAATCCTTTTTATGCGGAAAAATTCTGCAATCCACGATCTTAAATCTTCGTGATTTTCACAATTAGAGGGATAAAGATGTACCTTTATCCATAACAATGCCCTTTGGAATGATTGCTGTTGAAAACAAAAGAAACGAAGAAATCTTATTTATCTCCCTTAACCCACGTATCTTATCTGACGAAGAATAAAATACAATCGTTCGTTCCTACACGGGTGGAGAGAGGATCAAGCTATCAACATGTGCCTTCCATCAAAGCACATTCCATTTCGTAAGAGTCGCACCTCTTTGTGGCCAATACGTTTATTTATAGTATTTAAATAATTATTAAACCATTAATTAATAACATCATGTGAGCTACAATTATTCTTACATGATTCGCTAAATATGCTAATATAGCCAACCCTTTTGCCCTAGCATTCTCTCTCTATAATCTCTCTCCTCTGTACTGTTTTGTTCGTCGCATGGGTCTAAAGCACAAACTTGAAGAGAGAGCAGAGAGAGAGAGAGAGAGAGAGAGAGGACGATCTAAGGAAGAATGGATCCGATGGCGAAGGCGTTCGTGGAGCACTACTACTCGACGTTCAACGCGAACCGGGTGGGCTTGGCCAACCTGTACCAGGAAGGATCGATGCTCACCTTTCAGGTTTCAGGTCAATAAGTGAAATAGACCCTAAGAAAAAAGGGCTTTTTAGTCTTTCTACCTGACGGACCGATTTCGCATCGGTCGGGTTTTTTTTTTGGGAAATATGAACACGACAATTCCAAATAAAAAAGAAGGGATAATGACACAGACAGTCTCTGAATTTTGGCCAAATATGTAATTTGGTCTCTAAACTTTTAATTTATTTAATGTAATCTCTGAACTTTAGCCTATTGTTCAATGTGATCTCTGAACTTTTAATTTGTTCAATGTGATCCTTAAACTTTTGGTACACGTTCAATGTAGTCCCTGAACTTGAATTGATAAAATGACTATATTGAAAATTTTTATATAGTTCAGGGACTAAATTAAATATATGAAAAGTTCAGGGACCACATTGCACATTGAATTAAAGTTCATGGATTATATTGGATAAATTAAAAGTCCAATGACCACATTATACACCTGGCCAAAGTTTTGATCGTTTGTGTTGTTCTCCCTAAAAAGAAAAGCGTTAATACTGCGAAAAACCCCAAACTGGAACGCCCGTGACAATATTACCCCAAACTAATTTTTTTATCACAAAAAACCCTAAACTGATATACCTGTGACAAATTTACCCTCAGTTTATTTCCATTAAATTTTACTGTTAAATTATTTTGTTAAATGACACGCAGCAATTGACGGATGTATCAATTTTATGTTTTACCCTCCGTTTGTCATAGGTGTACCAATTTATGATTTTTTGTGTATTAATTCAATTTAATGGAAATTAACGAAGTGTAAATTTGTCACAAATGTATCAGTTTGGGATTTTTGGTAGTTAAAAAATTAATCTGAGATAAATTTATCACAGGTGTACTAATTTGAGATTTTTTATGATTAAAAAATTAATTTTTGGTAAAATGATCACGGATTATCAATTTGGGTGATATTAACCCAAAGAAAACTCTCAAAGCCGCTAGGGCTATCTCTCTTGTCGTCCTGTGGTTACCGTCTGCATCGCGTGGGTCTGGAGGCACAGAGCCAGAAGGGAGAGAAGACAGACGATGGATCGAGAAACCATGGATCTGAAGATAGCGGAGGGCCAGCGGTTCCTGGAGAACTACTACAGGACGTTCGACGCGAACCGGGCGGATATGGCGAACCTGTACCGGGAAGAGTCGGTGATGATCTTCGACGGCCGGAAGTTGCAGGGCAAGGAGGCTATCCTCGCCGAACTCACCTCCCTTCAGCAGTGCCGGCACCAAATCCTCACCATCGGCTGCCAGCCCACCTTCCTCGGCAGCAGCGACTTGGTCGGCATGGTCTCCGGCAACATCTGGCTAGACGGCAAGCAGTACGCCCGCCTTTTCAACGAGGTTGAAGGATTCATTCGTAACTTTTTGTATTTAATTTCTTTTTGAGCGTCGAAGGAGGATGGTGGTTTGGATGAGATGGGCATTTTTGTTGATTGAATATCACCACCTTGGGCGATCCCTTCATTCATTGTTAGCCAGAGAGTATCTGTTTCTGTTTTATAAGAAGATTTATAGAGAACCGTATTGTATTGTTGTTGCTCCTCCGATGAAGTTTTCGAAAAAAAAGCTAACTTTTGGGGTGGCGCCTAAAGAAATTTACCTCTTTTTAAAAGTTATTATGTCTCGTGAATTCTTTGCAATTTCTCTATCGAATCGGACTCGTCGTCCTCGATCACTCGTATTGCATTTTGGTACTACTGAGTCGTGTACCCGTACACCCCGTGTACATCTCGAGTTTGTCTAATGCTCTGCTGTTATTCTGCCCTCAGGCGTTCATGTTGCTCCCAACACCAGAAGGAAGCTTTTATGTATCGCGCGGCACTTTTGTATATCCCGGATCCCAAGTGTACAGTTTCACCATGGCTTGATCGGGAATGTCCAGGACGAACCGTTTCCTCTTGGAGGCCGGGGGCAGTTTCAGTCTGTGTGTTTTTTTCAATGTTCTACTGCAGTGCCGTTTGAAACAGATTTCTATATATGTTTGCAGCCGTGTTTTCCTTAACTATGTCTGAGGGCTTGCAGTTTTACTTGGACCCATTATTGTTGATCTTGTGCGTGTTTTTCTTAACTATGTCTGAGGGCTTGCAGTTTTACTTGGACCCATTATTGTTGATCATGTGCGTGTGTTTTCATGGTATCATCAACTGATTTAGCCCATCAAGATCTTCGTCAAGACCTTGAAGGGCACCAACTTCGAAATCGTGGTGGAGCCCGAAGACGCGGTCAGTTTCTTCTTCCCGCTTTTGCTGTTTTTGAAATATGGTTTCATCATCCGATGATGAGACGTTGTGGGCTTCTTCAATTGGGAAAAATTCAAATGCTAACCAAGGTGTGATGTGTATGCACATTCGTTTTAGCAACTTATTCTGGCCTAGATATTGACAATAAGAAGCACCGAGGTACTAGTTGAGAATGTATAGGAGCTTGTGCTGCAGAAATGCAGTATTTCACCAGTTTTGCTGTTGTGGAATCTAAATACAAGCTTCTGCACTGGTTTGGTGGTACTTAGATATTGCTGTGCAAAACAGAAATAGCTTAACCAACTTTAGTCTCTGGAAATCCTGAAAACTTTGGAGTGCCCGATGAGTTTTCTCACCACATGCGAAAGAAATGGTGTTCAAAACTGAAACAAGAACTTGCGAAAGGATTCATTAAATTTAACTTAATGTAATTCGTATCTTGCACAACTGCATACACTCGCGTCGGATTTAAATGCTTTCAAAAAATTTTGCTTGGTTCGATATATGAGATTTTTTTTACAACCGACGAACATGAATGAATACGAGTTTTTTTTTTCAATTTTAAATAAACAATTCGGGGAAAAAGCATGTATTTGTTTTCAAATGGAATGAATAACTTAACTACCCAAAAAGAAAAAAAAAACACTTTTGAAGCTTTCGATTGCTGTATCAAATAAATATTCACATGATATGCAGTACTTTTTAGAGTGCTTTTGTGCTTTTCTTTATTCATTTCAGAGTATTGTCCTGTATCAATATTACAACGTGGGTTTGCAAAACCGAAAAGAAATGAATTACAAAAGTTATAAGTCACTTGACCACACACGCATCCTTAAAGAGTTATGGCCGGTGCACTGAAGTATTAGAAGTCTTGAAAGGGAGCCCATTCGAATAAAAGTAGAAGAAGATACGATGATTTTTATGAAGGGGAGAATACATGTGATTTTGCGTCACTTGAACAAATTTCTTTGAGGAGACACTAAATTGAGACAAAACCGGTCCATGTCATATTCAAATCCGAGAGTTCACACAACATGACAACTAGCCGGACAAACTTTTTTATTTCTCTGTTCCCTACAGAGTAAGACGATGACATTGCTACCTCCATTATTTTAAGATTATGCAATGAGCACAAAGCCTAAATTCGAGAGTTGCTTCTAGGCCTTGCAGCTTCTAATTCAAGGAACATTGCCAATACTTTGCAGTGAATTGCAGAGAGAGTCCCACACGTTTGTCTATATAACTAGAAAAACGCAATTTATTAGATGAACCACCAAACTCTAGTTGTAGACAAAATAATCGACTTATCGCGGTCGAGTACTAAAAGAGGGCACTATAAGCTGATTTTAGTCAAATAATTGACAATTTCAGAATTACAATTCAAACGGTAAACAACACTCTTCATAACTAGAGCCTTCTAAAACTAGAACAATACTTTAACCATAGTATAAATTTTACAAAACAGGAGCTCAATTCAACTTACCAATCGGTATCACCAAAAAGACATGGTAACAAGTACAAAAACTACCCTCTTTTGTCGCGTGAACAAAATAAACAACCGAATTTTTTTCGAAAGAAACGAGTGGTCTTTTAGATGGTTGAGAAAGTACCAGTACAGGAATATTGGCTCCGGCACAATATTGACTAGCAGCCTTAGCTTCTAGTATAAAGATCACCTTAGAAATCTATTCTTTTGGCAAATTTTGTGCTTATATAGTCCATTTTACACGTTGGTTTCGCTAGCTGCAAAATAACTTTTTTCCACTTCAACAACGTCAATAGATCGTGCTAATGTGGAAACCTCCTAAGCAAGTTTCTACGGTCTGCCACAGAAAGAAAATGGAGCAATTCCATTGTCATAAAAGAAACGAACTTCTTTAAAAAATAACACAACTACAGAATTCCGAGACAGCCAAGAAAATTTGTAAGAGTATCAATGATAAAAAGTTATGGGCATAGCTACTTATAAAAAAAAAATTTGAAGTAGTAGAACAGGCGGAGGGGTTGAGCTGGGAAAAAGGAAAAAAGAAAGGGCTTTTTAGTCTTTTTACTTGATGGACCGGTTTCGGATCGGTCTGGTTTTTTTTTGGGGGGCGGGGGGATGCCAAATAAAAAGAAAACTCTCAAAGCCTAGTGCTTTCTCTCTTGTCTTGTGGGGGTTAATTCCAAAAGAAAACATTCATTTTACTTTAAGTAATAATTTTGGCTCTAACTTTTTTCTGTCTTAATAAAATGTACAAATTTTTACTTGAGTCCCAAATATAGCCTCCGTAATATAAAATTTTCAAATTGTTCGGATCAAATTTTGGATTTAAGTGAAAGTTAGTGATTTTTTATGATACAAAAAAAAAAGTTCTGGCCAGAATTGTCATTGAAGATAAAGTTGGTGCTTTTATTATTATTTTTAATTGGGCCTGTTTTGTGGAACCGTCTGGCATCGCGTGGGTCTTGAAGCAGAAGAGAACCGGAAGGAGAGAAGACGACGACGGCGATGGAGGAAGGAAACCAGGATCTGAAGATAGCGGCGGCCAAGCGGTTCCTGGAGAACTACTACAGGACGTTCGACGCGAATGGGGCGGATTTGGCGAGCCTGTACCGGGAAGAGTCGGTGATGATCTTCGAAGGCCGGAAGTTGCAGGGCAAGGAGGCTATCCTCGCCGAACTCACCTCCCTTCAGCAGTGCCGGCACCAAATCCTCACCATCGGCTGCCAGCCCACCCCCCTCGGCAGCAGCGACTTGCTCGCCACGGTCTCCGGCAACATCTGGCTAGACGGCAAGCAGGACGCCCGCCTTTTCGCCCAGGTCGAAGGATCCATTCGTAATTGTTTTTTTATTTAATTTCTTTTTGAGCGTCGAAGGAGGATGGTGGTTTGGATGAGATGGGCACATTTGTTGATTGAATATCACCACCTTGGGCGATCCCATCATTCATTGTTAGCCAGAGAGTATCTGTTTCTGTTTTTAAAGAAGATTTATAGAGAACCGTATTGTATTGTTGTTGCTCCTCCGATGAAGTTTCCGAAAAAAAAGCTGACTTCTGGGGTGACGCCTAAAGAAATTTACCTCTTTTTTAAAGTTATTATTTCTCGTGAATTCTTTGCGATTTCTCTATCAAATTGGACTCGTTGTCCTCGATCGATCGATCGTATTGCATTTTGATACTACTGAGTCGTGTACGCGTACCCCGTGTACGTCTCGAGTTTCTCTAACGCTCTGCTGTTATCCTGCCCTCAGATGTTCATGTTGGTCCCAACACCAGAAGGAAGCTTTTATGTATCGCGCAGCACTTTCCTATATCTCGTATCCGAATTGCGCGGGACCTTCGTGGCTTGATCGGGAATGGAATGTCCAGGACGAACCGGTTCCTCTAGGAGGCCGGGGGCAGTTTCAGTCTGTTTTATTTTCAATATTTTACTGCAGTGTCGTTTGAAACAGATTTCTATATATATCGTGTGCGTTGCAACCGTGTTTTCCTTAACTATGTCTGAGGGCTTGCAGTTTTACTTAGACCATTATTGTTGATCAAGTGTGTGTTTTCCTTAACTATGTCTGAGGGCTTGCAGTTTTACTTAGACCATTATTGTTGATCATGTGTGTGTTTTCCTTAACTATGTCTGAGAGCTTGCAGTTTTGCTTACACCATTATTGTTGATCATGTGCGTGTGTTTTCATGGTATCATCAACTGATTTAGCCCATCAAGATCTTCGTCAAGCCTTGAAGGGCACCAACTTCGAAATCGAGGTGTAGCCCGAAGACGCGGTCAGTTTCTTCTTCCCGCTTTTGTTGGTTTTGAAATATGGTTTCGTCATCCGATGATGAGACGTTGTGGGCTTCTTCAATTGGGGAAATTCAAATGCTAACCAAGGTGTGATGTGTATGCACATTCGTTTTAGCAACTTATTTTGGCCTAGATCTTGACAATAAGAAGCACCTAGGTACTAGTTGAGAATGTACAGGAGCTTGTGCTGCAGAAATGCAGTATTTCACCTGTTTTGCTGTTGTGGAATCTAAATACAAGCCTCTGCACTGGTTTGGTGGTACTTAGATGTTGCTGTGCAAAATAGAAATAGCTTAACCAACTTTAGTCTCTGGAAATCCTGAAAATTTTGGAGTGCCCGATGAGTTTTCTCACCACATGTGAAAGAATTGGTGGTCAAAACTGAAACAAGAACTTGCGAAAGGATTCATTAAATTTAACTTATTGTAATATGTATCTTGCACAACTGCATACACTCACGTCGGATTTAAATGCTTTCAAAAAATTTTGCATGGTTCGATATATGAGATTTTTTTTATAACCCACGAACATGAGTGAATACGAGTTTTTTTTTCCAATTTTAAATAAACAATTCGGGGGAAAAAGCACGTGTTTGTTTTCAAATGGAATGAATAACTTAGGGTGCGTTTGGTAACGTCTCTGTTTCTGGGAACAATTTCTTTTCAGAAATAGTTTTTTCTATTTCTATTTCCTGGATGAGTTTTGAAGAAAAGAACGCGTCAGAATCGCACAAAATTTCTATTTCGGAATAGAAAAGAACATAAATGCGTTTGGTACAACCAAAAAAATTTCTATTCCCAATTTTTTGCATTCAAATATATATCTTTTATTTAACTATAAGTACAAGTTATAAGTGAAAAAAATCAATAAGCATGGTTTATTCGTTTGTCTAATCCTTTTTAGGGGTTTAAAACCCCTTTTAATCCCTAAACGAAGGAATCTTAAAAAATACTACTTGGGCACCTAAAAAAATTTAAATTTCACTCAAAGTGGGTGGCCACAGGTATTCTAAGCCATTTTGTGAATTTTTTTTATTTTTTTGGGTAAAATTTATTAAAATTTTTTACTTTCCCTAAATCTGTTTCTTTTTATTTTCCAGAAACTTTTTTATGAAATTTTTTTAAATTTTTTTCAATTTCGGAATTTTGCAAATTTTTATGGGTTTTCTGAGTTTTTCTTATTTTTATGGATTTTCTGAGAATTTTTCTGATTTTTATGAATTTTTGGAATTTTTTAATTTCCTAACTTTTTTGGGGATTTTTCTGAAATTTTTTTAATTTTTATGAATTTTCGGAATTTTTTAATTTAATTTAAGCCATTTTGTGAATTTTTTTATTTTTGATTTTTTTTGGGGAAAAGTTTATTAAATTTTTTACTTTCCCAAAATCTGTCTCTTTTGATTTTCCAGAAACTTTTTGACGAATTTTTTTAATTTTTTCAGTTTCAGAATTTTGCAAATTTTTATGGGTTTTCTGAGTTTTCCTGATTTTTATGGATTTTCTGAGAATTTTTCTGATTTTTATGAATTTTTGGAATTTTGGGAATTTTAAAAAAAAATTATGAATTTTTTTTTTATTATTCCCGCCGGGAATGGACCGGACCGGTGCTTTGAGACGGTCTATAGACGACGGAGGATGGAGGAGGAGCTGAGGCCGCGGCTTGAGGACCGAACCTTTCTATTTCTTTTTTTGTTTCTTGGAATAAAGAAGTAAAAAAAATCTATTTCTTATTTCTGTTCCAAATCTATTTCTTGGCCATTTTTCTATTCCAAGAAATAGAAAAATAAAATGCGTTACCAAATAGATTTTTGCTCTTTTTTTGTTCCAGGGAACAGAAGAATAGAAAAATAGAGAAGTAGAAACGTTACCAAACGCGCCCTTAACTACCCAAAAAGCAAGAAAAAAAAAAACACTTTTGAAGCTTCCGATTGCTGTGTCAAACAAAAATTCACATGATATGCAGTACTTTTTAGAGTGCTTTTGTACATTTCTTTATTCATTTCAGAGTATTGTCTTGTATCAATATTACAACGTGGGTTTGCAAAACCGAAAAGAAATGAATTACAAAAGTTATAAGTCACTTGACCACACACGCATCCTTCAAGAGTTATGGCTGGTGCACTGAAGTATTAGAAGTCTTGAAAGGGAGCCCATTCGAATAAAAGTAGAAGAAGATACGATGATTTTTATGAAGGGGAGAATACATGTGATTTTGCATCACTTGAACAAATTTCTTTGAGGAGACACTAAACTGAGACAAAACCGGTCCATGTCATATTCAAATCCGAGAGTTCACACAACATGACAACTAGCCGGACAAACATTTTTATTTCTCTATTCCCTACAGACTAAGAGGTTGACAATGCTACCTCCATTATTTTAAGATTATGCAATGAGCACAAACCTTGAATTCGAGAGTTAGCTTCTAGGCCTTGCAGCTTCTAATTCAGGGAAAATTACCAATACTTTGCAATAAATTGTAGAGAGAGTCCAACATATTTCTCCATGTAACTGGAAAAATGCAATTTGTCAGATGAGCCACAGAACTCTAATTGTAGAACAAATGATCGACTTATCACGGCCCAGTTCTAAAAGAGGGCACTATAAGCTGAGCAGATTTTAGTCAAATAATTGACAATGTCAGAATCATTACAATTCAAACGGTAAACAACACTCTTCATAACTAGAGCCTTCTAAAACTAGAACAAAACTTCATCCATAGTATAAAATTTACAAAACAGGAGCTCAATTCAACTTATCAATCGGTATCACCAAAAAGCCACGGTAACAAGTACGAAAACCACCCTCTTTTTGTTGTGCCAACAAAATAAACAACTGAATTTTTTTCGAAAGAAACAAGTGGTCTTTAAGATGGTTGAGAAAGTATCGGAACAGGAATATTGGCTCCAGCACAATATTGACTGGCAGCCTTAGCTTCTAGTATAAAGATCACCTTAGAAATCAATTCTTTTGGCAAATTTTGTGCTTATGTGGTCCATTTCCATTTCATACCTTGGTTACGCTAGCTGCAAAATAACTTTCTTCCACTTCAACAACGTCCATAGATCGTGCTAACGTGAAAAACTCCTAAGCAAGTTTCTACGGTCTGCCACAGTAGAAAAAAAAAATGGAGCAAAATCCATCATTATAAAAGAAACGAACTTGTTCGATTTTAAAATCCGAACGATAACACAGTTATTGAATTCCGAGACAACCGAGAAAATTTGTAAGAGGATCAATGATAACAGGTGACGGGGCATAATTACTTATAAAAGAAAATAAAAATAAAAAATTGAAGAAGCAGTTGAACAGGCGGAGGGGCTGAACTTGGAAAAGGGCAAAAAGAGAGGGCTTTTTAGTCTTTTTACTCGACGGACTGATTTCGGGTCGGTCGAGTTATTTTTGTTTTTGGGGGAATTCCAAATAAAAAGAAAACTCTCAAAGCCTAGGGCTTTCTCTCTTGTCTTCTCGGGGTTAATTTCCAAAGAGAGGGCCAATTTTACCTCGGGTAACAATTCTGACCCGAACTTTTTTTTGTCTCAATAAAAAGCACCAACTTTTACTCGAGTCCCAATTATGGCCCCTGTAATATGAAATTTTCAAATTTTTCAGGTCAGATTTGAGATTTAAGTAAAAGTTAGTGATTTTTATAAGACAAAAAAAAGTTTAGGAATTATTGCTCAAGGTAACGTTTGTGCTTTTGTTTGGAATTAGGCTCGTCTTGTGGTACCCTGCAACGCGTGTCTGAAGCAAAGAACCAGAAGGGAGAGAAGACGACGACGACGATGGATGGATGGAGGAAACCTGGATCTGATAGCGGTGGCCAAGCGATTCCTGGAGAACTACTACAGAACATTCGACGCGAACCCGGCGGATTTGGTGAACCTGTACCGGGAAGAGTTGGTGATGATCTTCGATGGCCGGAAGTTGCAGGGCAAGGAGGCTATCCTCGCCGAACTCACCTCCCTTCAGTACTGCCAGCACCAAATCCTCACCATCGGCTGCCAGCCCACCGTCCTCAGCAGCGACTTGATCGCCACGGTCTCCGGCAACATCTGGCTAGATGGCAAGCAGGACGCCCGCCTTTTCGCCTAGGTTGAAGGATCCCTTCATTCATTGTTAGCCAGAGAGTATCTGTTTCTGTTTATAAGAAGATTTATAGAGAACCGAATTGTTGTTGCTCCTCCGATGAAATAACTTTTGGGGTGACACCTAAAGAAATTTACCTCTTTTTAAGTTATTATTTCTCGTGAATTCTTTGCAATTTCTCTATCAAATCGGACTCGTCGTCCGATCGTATTGCATTTTGATACTACTGAGTCGTGTGCCCGTACCCCATGTACATCTCGAGTTTGTCTAACGCTCAACTGTTATTCTGCCCTCAGATGTTCATTTTGATCCCAACACCAGAAGGAAGCTTTTACATATCGCGCGGCACTTTCCTATATTTGGGATCCGAATTGTGTGGGACCATCCACGGCTTGATCGGGAATGTCCGGAACGAACCCGTTTCTCTAGGAGGCCGGCGGGGAGTTTCGGTCTGTTCTATTTTCAAATGTTCTATTGCAGTACCGTTTGAGAGATTCTATGTCCACAAGGACATCTATCCTTCATTTGTCACTCAAGTATCAAAAATTGTGAAGTAAGTTGCGGCTGTGAATATGCTGACATGATTTTTGGTAGATATTTGTCTATAGCTGTGAGCAAAGTCTTTATTGGGGGATATTGGTACAATTGGTGGATATTGGTTCACTTGCCTTCAAAGATTCTCGCAACATCATTGTTGTCAGTTGTGGCCTGCATCTTCTTTCACATATGCTTCCTCACTGCATTCCATTAGCAGCTTTACTATTTATCTT